CAATCAAAGTACAGTTGGGGAAAAGGTACATTCTCAAAGTAAAATTGACTTTAAGCATATGGAAGAAGCTGAATTTTCAGGACCTTCATTTGCTGATGGGTCACAACTCACAATGAAAAGAAACAGCTGCACACATCCATCATCCATGAGTAATCAGAACATGGGATATGCTGAGTATAAATCTAGGAAAATTGGAACTCGTCAAAAATGAAATGGAACACATAAAGTTCAATATCCTAAACATTAGTGAACTGAAATGGACTACAATTGGACATTTTGAATCAGACAATCATAGGGTTAACTATGCCAGGAACTATAAACTGAAAAGGAATAGCATTCATAGTAGAAATTCATAGTAGATTATTTCAAGATCTGTCTTGAAGAACTATGCTGTCTGTGATAAGATATCCATATGTCTATAAGGAAGGCAAGTTAATAGCATCATCACTCAAATTTATATACTAACCACTAAAGTCAATGATGACAAAACTAAAGAATTTGTTTGTTCTTCTGATAGTCCATGGCACTTTCATTATTCTTCTCCAACATCAAAATTCAAATGCATCAATTCTTCTATGGTCTTCCTTATTCATTTTCCAACTTTCACATGCATATGAGGCGATTGAAAATACCCTGGGTCAGGCTTACCTTAATCTTCAAATTGACTTCTTTGCTCTTGAACACTTTAAAGAGGTCTTTTGCAACAGATTTGCCTAATGCAATATGTCCTTTGATTTGTTGACTGCTGCTTCCATCAGTGTTGATTGCAGATCCAAGCAAAAAGAAGTCTGACAGTCAGTCTTCTCTCTCCTTATCACAATGTTATTCATTGGTTTGAATGTGAGGACATTTGCTATTTTTGCATTTTTTTTTTCTTTCACATTGAGGTGCAATCCATAGTGAAGACTGTAGTTTTTGATTTTCATCAATGAATATTTCAAGTCCTCTTCACTTCTAGCAAACAAGGTTGTGTTGTTAATAAGTTTTCCTCTAATCCTAATGCAATACTCTTCTTCATGTAACCCAGTTATCATATTATTTGTACAGCATATAAATTGAATTGTTGTTGTTGTTGTTGTTAAGTACTGTGGAGTCCGTTCCAACTCATAGTGACCCTGAACAGGGTTTCCGAGGCTGTAAATCTTTATGGGAGCAGAATGTTTCATCTTTCTCCAGTGGAGCTGCTGGTAGTTTCGAACTGCTGACCTTGAGGTTGGTAGCCCGACTCGTAACCACTATGCTACCAGAGCTCCTTACAAATTGAATGAGTACTGACAAATAACACAGCCCTGGTGCACACATTTCCTGATTTTAAACAATTATCTCCCTTGTTCTGGTATAAGGACTACCTATGAAGATGTTCCTCGTGAGCACAATTAAATGTCTTACAAATTTCTTGGCATACATGAGTGAGTGCCTCAGTCTGTTGAAACAGTTCAATTTGTATTCCATCAATTTCTGGAGCCTTGTGTTTTGTCAATGACTTCATTGCAGCTTAGACCTACCTCTTCCTTCAATATTGTTGGTTCTTGATCATATGTCATCTGTTGAAATGGTTTAACACTGGCCAATGTTTTTTTTTTGGTACAGCAATTCTGTGTATTTTTCCCATCTTCTTTTGGTGCTTTCTGCATCATTCAATATTTTGCCCATACTTTTGCTAAATGCCATTGAGTCATTTTGACTCATAGCAACTATGGATAGGGTTTCCAAGGAATGGCTGGTGGGTTTGAACTGCCCACCTTGAGGTTAGCAGTCCAGTGCTCATAACTACAGTGCTACTCCAGGACTCCATTTTGCCCGTAGAAACCTTCAACATTACAACCCAAGGCCTGAATTTTTTTCTTTAATTCTTTCAGCTTGAGAAATACTGTATGTGCTCTTCCCTTTTGATTGTCTACGTTTTTGCACATTTCATTATAATACTTTATTTTGTCTTCTTGAACTGCCCTTTGTAGTTTTTAGTTCAGCTCTTTTGTTTCATCATTTCTTCCAATTGCTTTAGTTTCTCTATGTTCAAGAGCAAGTTTCAGAGTCTCTTCTGACATTCACTTTGGTCTTTTCTTTCTCTCCTGTCTTTTTAATGACCTTTTGCTTTCTTAATGGCTGATGTTCCGAATGCCATTTCACAACTTCTTTGGTCTTTGACAATTAGTGTCCAATGTAACAAATCTGTCCTTTTTTTATTTTTAAAGTTTTTTTTATTGTGAATTGAGTGGTAGTTTATATGGGATAGCATAGGTTTTACACTCATTGTTTCATTGCAATGATTGCAATTTCCTTCATGCATCATCATTCAACAGTAACAAATCTGTTCTTGAGATGATCTTTAAATTCAGATGGGATATATTTAAGGTCATATTTTGGATCTCATGGACTTGTTTTAAGTTTCTTCAGTATCAGCCTGAACTTGTATCTGAGCAATTGATGGTCTGCACAACAGTCTGCCTCTGGTCTTTTTTTGACTAATGGTATTGAGCTTCTCTTTCTATAGATGTAATCACTTTGATTCCTGTGTATTTCATCTGGTGAGGTCCACGTGTATAGTAGCTGTTTATGATGTTTATAAAAAGGTATTTATTTGTAAGATGTTTGGCCTGGCAAAATTCTATCACACAATCTCTAGCATCATGTCTATCACCTAGGTCATATTTTCCATGTTGTTGATGTTGTCAAGTGCCGTCGATTCAGTTGCGACTCATAGTGGCTCTGTATAGGGTTTCCAAGGAGCAGCTGGTGAGCTTGAACTACCAACCTTGTAGTTCAAATGGCTTTACAGTCTGGCGCATTAACCAACAGCGCCACACCAGGACTCCATGTACTGATCCTTATTTGCTTCCAACTTTCATATTTTAATCAGTAATAATCTATACATCTAGATTGCATATTCGATCAATTTCAGGTTGTAGAAGTTGGAAGAATTCATCTATTTCATCCTTACTGGCTTTAGTGGTTGGTGTGTAAATGTGAATGATGTGGTATGAACTGGTCTTCCTTACTGGCATATGGGTAGTATCCTATCATAGATAGATCCTGAATGCACTTTTTGATGTTGAATGAAACACCTCAAATTTGTTGTTCCTGACATAATAAACCTTAAGACTGTCTGATTCAAAATGGCCGACACCTGTCCATTTCAGCTCACTAATGCCTAGGGTGTTGATATTTATGCATTCCATTTCATTTCTGATAACTTCCAATTTTCCTAGACTCATACTTTGTGCATTCCACATTCTGATTATTAATTTTTTACAGTCACTTCTCCCCAATTTGAGTTGTGCCACATAAGAAAATGAAGATCCGAAAATATTTGCACCATCTTTTCATTGCAGTCAACTCTGCTTTTAGGCTTTCTGGTGTGGCGCTGTAGGATAAGCACTACACAGCAAGGTCAGTTTGAACCGAAAGGTTGGTTGTTCAAACTCACCAGCCGCTCCTCAGAAATCCTATATAGGGTCACTATGAGTCAGAACCTTCTTCACAGCATTTAAGAACAACAACAACAACTTTTAGGAGGCAGCTTTTCCCCAGTCTATTTTTAGTTCCTTCCAATCTGAGTGGTTCATCTTCCAACATTATGTTGATTGTGTTCTGCTGCTATAATATAAGGGTTCCAGTTGTTTACCATTCTGAAGTGGTCACATCTCCTTCTTCCTAGTTTATGTTAGTCTGGAAGTTCTGCGGAAACCTGTCCACCATGAGTGGCTTTTCTGGTTTTTAAAATACAGGTGGCATCACTTTCTGTATCATACCAACACTCAGCCACCACCACAGTAATGACAAACTGACAAAGTGGTGGTTGTAAGAATGTTATTGTTAAGTGCTGTCAAGTTGGTTTCAACTTACAGCAACCCTATATAGGGTTTACAAGGAATGGCTGGTGAGTTTGAACCACCGACCTTGGTGGTCAAATCGACCTTGAGGTCAAGTGCTTATCCTACAGCGTCATACCAGGAGTCGGGTTCTAAGTATAAATGTCTATAATTCAAGATTGATTAGCTTGACATCCTCAATGTTAAACACTCTAAAATGTAGCCCAAATCAAAACTTATATTTCAAAAGTAAACTTTTAGGTTGTTTCATGATCAAAGAGTTTTCCATCAGTCAAAACAGAAATGATGAGAAAAAAAAAAAAGGATATATTTTGGAGATCTTGGCATCACTTCAAAGAGCGTAGAAAAAGACTCAGAGAACTCTTCCAACTGTTGGAAGGCAGGAGTTTGGCGGAGACCCATATACACTGGAAAGCGAGGTATCCTTGAAAACATTCTATAAGTCTCCTCATATTTTAAGATTTTAAACTATGGGACTGTGAATCAGAAGATTGGTGGTTTGAGCCCAAGGTTCAAACTGACCTTGCTGTGTCTGGGGAAGAAAGATGAGGTTTTTCTGCTCCTGCAAAGGTTTACAGCCTCTGAAACCCTACCCTATACAGGGTCTATATGAGTCAGAACTTCCTCCATGGCGCTTAACAACAGTATCAACCAACCATGGCAACATTTTTATGCACTTACAACTCAGTACTGCACCAATTTTCCTTCCAAAACTACCCTCATGGGTAATGAGGTAAATGATTTCTGAGGCATTTGGAGTAAGCTTGATAGTCTTTAAATACTGGTTTTTGAAATGAGTTTCTTTCATTCCCACCTAATATATTTATATTTATTTTGAAGAACAGAAAAGGTGAAGCAAGTCAGAGATTTTCTGACATATCGTAAGTGACCTATGGTTCAGCTGGTGTTCCTTCACAAGATTTTGGTACCCAAAGTAATGGACTAGAGATTTAGCATCCTTTCAGTGATCATACATTTTTTAAAGCCAACATTTCACACTTTTGAACAGCATCTCCTCTGGATCCAATACCTCCTCCCTGCCCGCCCCCTCGGTCCTTCCCACCCTCTCCCTCGCCCCCTCCCAGCCTGCGCATGCGTCGTCAGCACCCCCTACACTGGCGGCACAGGCTGGGAGTATTGTCGGGGGCTATTCTCTCTCCCAGGAACATGGCGGCGAGTCAGGGAGGTGGTGGTAACAGTGGGGGCGGCGGTTGTGGAGGAGGTGGAAGTAACAGTGGCGGTGGCGCCGCTGGAGGGGGAGGTGGTGGGGCCGGAGGGGGAGGCGGCGGCGGGACCCTGGCAGTGCCCATCCCGGTACCGACTCTTTTCGGTCAGCCGTTCCCCAACGGGCCGCAGTGGAACCCGGGGAGCCTGCAGCCTCAACACACAGTGAGGAGCCTGGACCGGGCCCTGGAGGAGGCGGGCAACTCTGGCATCCTGAGCCTCAGTGGCAGGAAACTCCGAGACTTCCCGGGCAGTGGTTATGACCTGACGGACACCACCCAAGCAGGTGACAGGACGGGGGGGAGGGGAAGCTGGGCTAAGAAGAGGGCGGTGGGGGGAGTGGGTGGCTGCGTGGCTGCGTTGTTGGACTCTGCTGATCAGGGCGGGGGCGCGGGGGGCGCAGGGGCGGCGAGCCTGACAAAAGTCGGAGCTGCTGCTTTTTCCTGAACATGAGGGGCAAGGAAGGGAATAGAGGAGAGGGGAAATGCTGAGGGCAGGATGTATGGAAACTGGCTGGGAGGTAAAGGGTGGGAAAGCATTATTGTTAGAGAGTTTCCCCAGTAAAGGGGAGGGAGATGTTGATACCTGCCTCAATGCACTTCTTGCAACTCTCCTGAAGGTACTCATCTTTCCCGAAAAAAAAAGCAACACCACACACATCAACAACATAAAATCACGATCTGTACCTATTCCTTATACGCATAGATGCCTCCAAGAATGGCATATCCCTTCTCACAGTAGAGCAGCAGTGTTGCCAGGTTTTTGTTTTTTTAATGTTGTTTTGTGTGTTTTTAAATTATCCTAGAGCATTCTTGCTTGCATTGTCCTGTATACCTGTAAAGAATAAGGTTTTTCATTCTCTTGGTGTTGAGAAGGCAGTGCTGGTTAAATTAGTATTTGCAGCGATAGCAAATTAAATCATCAGTCACTTATGGGTCTGGTTACTAGGCGAAAGATAATCCTTGTTTTGAGTTATGGAACAGCCTTAATTTTTATGGCAGGAAGAGCCAAAAATGCAAGGGCAGTTTTGAGATAAAAATTAACTCCATTCTTTATAGAGTTGTGGATTTTTGGCTTATCAGTTTGAACGAGAAATTGACTGTTGTAATGTTCCTCATAGACACTCTGATAGTCTTTGTTGTGGATGGCATTTGTTGTTGTTGTTTTTGTTATGAATGTACTCTTTCCCCCTTTTGCCTGATAAACCAGTGGCTATTATTTTAGGTGTGTTTTAGTTTGCTGAAAGGGTTTTTTGCTATTCATAATTTTTAATTTGTTGTTCCTGTGTTTATTTTCATTTGCTTTTCCTGAATTGAATCATGAACAAAATTATTTTGATAAAGTAATATGAAACAATATCATTCATTAATTAACCCATAATGGTATCTAAGAAAAGACCTCTCATTTTCAGAATATGGTAATTTCCTATGTGTTTAGATTTGGGATGTTAAATCCAGTTATGTGGGTTGGAAGACAGTGAGGGAGGAAGGAAAACCTAATTTGAATTCTTTCTGCCCAATAATTCTATTAAGACTTATTATAAGAACTATGAATGTGCAAGAGATCACTAATTCTGTAGCTTGAGAAGAATATTGGAGTATTTACTCATTCACTCTGAACAGATTTCCTAAACAATATTCATGAATGTCTTAGCAAGATATTATACTACTTGATAGGGTTCTTCAAAAGCTTCAAGAAAAATGGTTCCTGATTGCACCATTCATTATAAGGATGTATGTATTGTTTTGCTTATTGTTCTTGAGAACCTTTAAAGGCTTTCTGTATCTATAGAACAAAGTTTTAGTATCCTAGCTTGGCATTCAGGTCCTTTCATTGTTCAGCTTTGCTTTATTATTACAACATGTTTCTTCAATTGATCCTACATGAAATTCTCTGTTCCAACTAGGTCACCCTCCTGCCCCTCAGATATATTTTGTGGATTCGTGTCTCGTCTTTGCTCAAGGTGATGGGGATCCTTAAGCTTTCCTTCTTTCCTCCACCTACTTAATTTTGTTCAAGTCCCTGCTTTTCCAAGAAGCTGTCTCCAACTCTCAGTCTACATGGGCCTCCTACTTCTTTGAATTCCTATGAGACTTATTGACTTTACCACTTACTTAGCAGTGCTGGCTTTATTTTCCTTATCGTGTTTGTGTCTTGCTGTTCATGATAAGATGCTGAACTCCCTAGAGGCAGGGATTAAGTCACATACTTGTTTGGTCTTCTCATAAGTTATTGCTTATACTGTGTTGGATCATTTTTCCTATAAATATGAATTATCATGAACTGTGGTTATAACCTTTGGCTTTTAATCCTTTAGTTGGGTTTCTGAGGCATGCTTCAATACAAACCAGAACCATCTTTGTTCTTGGTAAACATTCATCATAGCCTTTTATTATTGTCTATAATAACACAAGAGTTTATTGAAATAATCCCACCTCATTCAATTAATTATTTATTCAGTTGAATGCATGTTTCATGTGGAAACATTTCAGACTCAAATAGGATAAAACATATTTTATTGGTCTTTTTTCCCTTTAAGTGAGAAATTTCTGGGTGACTTGTTTGATCATTCATTTTTGACAACATTAATATTTAGGGGTGATATGTTTTAAAAGATACCAATATGCATTATGCATTCTGTTTGGTGCTATTATTGAACTTAAAATGTCATAATATTTCAGAAACAAACTCTTAATGCTTTGATTTTCAGTTGCTCAAGTTTGACTTCACTCAGTTTATTCAGTCTCTCTTCTAATTGGTCCCAAACACATTTTGCTTAAATTTAGATCTGTCTTCTATTCCACCAATTCCCATAGTAATGCTTATTCCTGTCTCTGTTTCTTTGCTCACACTCTTTCCTATTGGAATTGGCCATTTTCCTTCTCTCAGTCCTTTAGTGTATCTGATTCGATAGACAAACATATAATGATTTATTGGATTGGGAGGAGATTGGAGGAAGGGAAAACAGCTAGGAGGCTATTCTGTTAATAATCTAGGTAGGAGGTAATGAGAATTTCTGCAAGGGTGGTCAAAAGAAGGTTGGATAATAAAGAGAAGTGAATTACGTTGAAAACACAGAAAAAGGGCTATTTACATTATTTTGCTGTCCCACACATAGGAATAAGATGAAATAGACCACCGTAGTTGCACAATAAAATCACATGGGATTTAGAAAAAAAAAACACAGCACAAAACTATGAACCTCACCGTAGACCAATTAAATCAAATCTCTAAGGTCTAGAGACTTATGTTTTTTAAAAGCTATCTTCCCAGGTAATTGCAATATGCAATGAGGGCAGAGAAACCCTTACATAGGTCATTTTTGATGACATTCAAGAAATATTTGTTGTTTGAGGGAATGAATAAAATGATACAAATCAAATGACTCATCCAAAGTCACTTGTCAAGGGGGTCAAAACCAAGACTCGGAACTTAAGTACAAGTTCTGGTTCAATGTTCTTTTCATTACACTTGTATGAAGCAGACACTCATTTTGTTCCCATCATATTGTTTCCACTGTGTTCTGGGCAAATTCCTTCTAGTTGGTTCCAACTCACTGCCCTGTATGGTGTTTCCCAGGTGGGTTTGAACAAATGACCTTTCGATTAATTGTCCAGTGCTTATCCTACAGTGCCACTTCACTACACTCTAATTTAGTAGCATTTGCTCTTAACTTCTTAGTAGATCTGTCTTCACAAACTCCTTGACTTAAATTCTTACCCACATAACAATATAAAAGGAAGGATCAGAAAGGTGGTAACTTATTTCAGGAAGGTACCTGACTTTTATTGGACTGACTTCTTTGAGATGGTCTGTAGGTAGACTTGGCAGCACAAAGGAAAATTGACAAGAGCTTTTCATTCTGGGTGCAGTGATAATTTGTTGAACTTAAAATGGGCTTGAAAATGAATTTAGTGGTTACCCAAACAAATCCTGAACCTTTTAATAGTTAAATCTGTCACCAGTGCTACAAAAACCATGGATTTGTCTCAGTCTACTTGTAGCTGCTCCCTTTGCATCTTTTACCTCTTTATGAGCAGAAACATTAGGTCTTGGTATTCTTAAATACATCAGACTGTGTTGTATTCTGGATAATCACATATGTTCCTGTAAACCAGGTATCAACTCTACTATTTCACATCCTCGACTGTGGTGCATGGTACATTCTGTTAGGTTGTGAAATCCAGCCCCTCACAAAGGCAGGATCAGATTCTGGTATGTAAGTGGAGGACTTCACAGTGCATCCAGTGGAAAGAGCTTTTGATTGTGATTTGGCGGCCTGATTCAAACATCATCCATGCTTTTATGCAATAAATATCTTCCTGAAAAAATTGAGTGTGGAGCATATTTTTGACAGTTGAATCACATTTTAGTTGTAAGATGATTTCAGGACCGAGGTGACACTGTAGGACAAGCACTGGATAAGCAATCCACAAGATTGGCAGTTCGAGACCACCAGTCACTTGGCAGGAGAAAGATAAGGCTTTCTGTTCCCACAAAGATTTAAAGCCTAGGAAAACCTATACAAAGTTACTATGAGTCGAAATCGACTGGATAGCACTGTGCGGCAGTAAATCACAATTTGTGTTGGTGAATCTCATAGTGATTTATTTTGTTCAGTGATAAATTCTATGTCACAAATTGTCATTAGGTGCCACCAAGTTTGTTTGACTCATAGCAACCTTATGCACAAAAGAATGAAATACAGTTGGATCCTACACCTGCCTCACAGTTGTTAATTGTGTTTGAACCTATTATTTCCACTGTGTCAGTTCACCTTGTTCAGGGTCTTCTTTTCTGGTGACTCTCCACTTTTCCAAGCATGATGTCCATCTGCAGAGATTGCTCCCTCCTGATAATATATCCAAAGAAAGAGAGGAAGTCTTTGCCATCCTGGTTTCTAAGGAGCACTCTGGCTGTACTTCGCCCAAGGCAGATTTGTTTGTTCTTTTGGCAATCTATGGTACTTTAAATATTCTTCGCCAACACCATAATTCAAGTGCATCAATTGATCTCTGGTCTTCCATATTTATTTTTCAAGTTTCACAAGCAGATGAAGACATTGAAAATGCCTTGGCTTGGGTCAGGCAGATCTTTGTCCTGAAGCTGACATCTTTGCTCTTGAACCCCTCAAAAAGAGGTCTTTTGCAGCAGACTTGCCTAATATGTTGTTTGATTTCTTGACTGCTGCTTCCATGTGCAATATTGTGGCTATGTGGGTTAATGTGCTGGACTGCAAAGTAGGGTGGAATTCCAAGGTTGGTAGTTCAAGCTCACCAGACCGCT